TAGGAGAAACTAAGACATTTACTGGTCCCAGATAATATGTTATACCACATTGTCATTGTATTCTAATTTATACTTGATATTTTAGTTTTTAGTGTGGGTTACATTGAGAAATTGTAAATGCAGTGCACTGCATATGTTGGTTATCCCGTTGTATTGGCTGGTTATTGGTGTTGTATGTTTTGCCGAAGCAGTCCCTATTAAAGATCAATCAGCTCAAGTTGTAGCTGATGCTATATTTAATGATATAGTATGTAGATATGGTTGTCCTGATATGGTCATTTCCGACCGGGGTAGTAATTTTACATCTAAATTATTTCAAGACGTTTGCAGTGGTCTACAAATAAAGCATAACATCACGACTGCATATCGCCCATGTTCTAATTCCATCTGTGAGCGTTTTAATAAAACACTCTGTGGTACTATAGCCTGCATATCAGAGGGCAATAATAGGAATTGGGACTCTTTTATATCACCAGCACTATTTGTGTACAACAACACTACATGCCATGCATCAACTAATGAATTCCCAGCCTTTTTATTATATGGCTTCGACCCCCGTTTCTCTATTGTGTTCCCAGCGGAACAGCAGAATATCAACCTGGAAAAGCCCCACGGAATGGAATTGAGAGATAGATTAAGCACTGTACGGGAAGCTGCTTACGAACTGGGGAGGCAACAGAATTTTAATAATCGAAAACGTATCAACCGAAACAGGGAAATGAACAATTGGAGGGAGGGGCAACAAGTATGGTTACTTTGTAAAGGTAAAAATAAGAACTCTGGGAAGTTCTCGGCGAAGTATCTAGGACCCTATCAGGTTACATGTAAATGAACATTCAACTTAGGAACTTTCAAACTTATGAACAATTTGACCATATGTCTAAAATTTAAGTTTCATGCAGATTCAGAATTTCTCTTGCCAGTTGTGGGGGTTGAGTTGAAGTCAGTTTTTAGCCAGTAATAGATAATCATTTTTAATAAGTAATTAATGTGGATTTATTTCTATTGCATATCATCATTTTTTGTTTTTACATGAATTCTGACATTCCATCGCTGCTTGTGAGGTGGCATCAAAGTTGGTAATGTTGGAGTAATGGTATTTTTTGCTATTGTTTGCAAATTTTTTAAACTTTTATGATCACTGCTTCAAAAATGCATCCAAAACATAATAGTAAATATAGCAATGGAAATAAATGCAAGAAATGTGGCTCTATTACCGTGGAAATTAAACTTTACATTATAAAACTAAATGCATTAGGTGAAAAAACTGTATTTGAAATACCCACTACTAAGCAGTAGTGAGCAGGTAAATGAGCATAATGTACATTAAAGGATCAAACACTAAAATATGTGGTTATTCTGTGTACAAATGTACTATCTAGATTAGTTTTTGACTTATGAACATTTTACCTTATGACAAAACCTTGGAACAAAACCTGTTCATAAGTGGGGGAGTATTACAAAATATAAACCGTTTCATAAATTATGTTCTTATGTTGTTGTAATATCTTTATTTTTGTGTAATTGTTCATTAATAATAATTATGCTATAACAAAAGAAAGTTGTATCAAGTCATTATCATTCTTCATCAATTGTTTTAAACACATTCCTTTTATCTATTTACTGAATTGCAATTACAGTAGAGTCCTAGAAACTCATCTCTCAATAACTCAACATTCTCTAAAATTTGTCATATTGTTAAAAAAATATATATGTATACATGTAATCTAATTTTTATTTCTGTAACTTAACACTTGGATCAAATAAGTTACCATTCTTCACTTGTAAAACTTGATGATAGCATCAATTTCATGTGTTAACAAAGAATATAACCCTTTTTCCAAGGTGCAAAATGCCATAACACAAATATCACTAATTCAAAAGTATCCACTGAATAGCTAATATTTTTTTTTTTTAATTAAAATTTAACTACAAATAAAAGTAACTATTGTATGTATTTAATATGTGTATGAATTTGTACATATAATTTCAATTACTTTCTTATACATATAATACCTTTATGAAAATTCTACTATTTAGATTAGCATCATTCATCATTATGCTATTATGGCCGTACGCCTTATTTTGTATATTTTATTCTTAGCCTGGGTCAGGTCGCAAAGGTCAACAACCTATTGGGGTCGCTGCGGGTCACCTTGACCCTCATTTTAGATATCAAATTACATTTTAACTATCTAACCTTTTGCACTTTTTTCTTTTAAATATTATTTCTCGTTCTGTTTCATAATTTAATAAACATATTTGTTTACTTTCTAATGCATAGTTAATTATTTATTAACATTTAAGTATTTAAAGGTTAAAAGTTTATAACCCTTTAAATACTTAAAAATTTCTAAAAAATTTAACTATTTAAAAAATTTAAAACAATTAATAATGATTATATCATTATTTTTATTATATAATAGGTATGTCACTTCACGATTTTAAAATAAATTATATTTACATTAAATAAACATATCAAATTACAACATTATTTAATTGACCGTTACTACTATATTAAGAACCTTAGGGCACACGTTAAGCGCATCGTTCGGTGTTGTCAGATTTGTCAAAAGCATAACCTCCATCATGTCCGTGCTCCATTCCAGGAGACGGAGGTGGCTGAGTTTCCCTTCCAGAAAATCGCCGTTGACATTATAGGCCCTCTCCAAATATCTCCGGAAGGAAACCGTTACATTTTTAAAATGATTGACATCTACACCTGTTTTGCCGAAGCAGTCCCTATTAAAGATCAATCAGCTCAAGTTGTAGCTGATGCTATATTTAATGATATAGTATGTAGATATGGTTGTCCTGATATGGTCATTTCCGACCGGGGTAGTAATTTTACATCTAAATTATTTCAAGACGTTTGCAGTGGTCTACAAATAAAGCATAACATCACGACTGCATATCGCCCATGTTCTAATTCCATCTGTGAGCGTTTTAATAAAACACTCTGTGGTACTATAGCCTGCATATCAGAGGGCAATAATAGGAATTGGGACTCTTTTATATCACCAGCACTATTTGTGTACAACAACACTACATGCCATGCATCAACTAATGAATTCCCAGCCTTTTTATTATATGGCTTCGACCCCCGTTTCTCTATTGTGTTCCCAGCGGAACAGCAGAATATCAACCTGGAAAAGCCCCACGGAATGGAATTGAGAGATAGATTAAGCACTGTACGGGAAGCTGCTTACGAACTGGGGAGGCAACAGAATTTTAATAATCGAAAACGTATCAACCGAAACAGGGAAATGAACAATTGGAGGGAGGGGCAACAAGTATGGTTACTTTGTAAAGGTAAAAATAAGAACTCTGGGAAGTTCTCGGCGAAGTATCTAGGACCCTATCAGGTTACATGTAAACTAGGCCCCGTCATTGTAGAAATTGGTGATAACCGTAAGAATAACAAGTTTATTGTACATGTAGATCGATTAAAACAATGTTATTTTTCGATGTATAAAGACGCGAAAAAAAGAAAGTGTAACAGACACCTCATGAAACCAGAAGAAGAGGAACCGATTAATGATTCGAACGATGAAGATATTTGTGAATATATCAGGCATTGGACTCGTGAAACAAATCACCCTTCATATGAGCCCCAGGATCAACAGAACAAACTTGAAAGACTCGAGAGGAGCTAGAAGCATATCTAGATATAAGAATATTCGAGATCTTATTTTGAGAGTCCGATAGGATTAGCCCATCAACTATTTCTCCAAGATTTGATATTTCCGATATCACCACCATCAATCCAAGATCGTTGACACTTTCAGTATCCATTCTTTTCTATCAAATATCCAGCTATCCTATTGCCTATCTTTTCTTCCTCCCTTTTAGTATAAGTAGCTTTAAGTATTTAGTTATAGTTCCTTTTTTTTTGTACCGCGGTGAATAATTTTGTCGTGAGATTTTAATTAACTGCCGAAATTGTCTATAAAAGACCAAATGAGGAGTGTCGGAATATAAAAGAATCCTGAAAAAAAAGAAAAGAAAATAAACACGGGTGAAGGAAAACATCTATTTGTATTGTTTGCTTATCCTCTAGTTGGAAATACACTCACCACGTGCGTATCTTACACTATAAAATATAAAAATAAAATTATTTTGGTAATTTGTCACCTTCTCAGTCCATAGTAAGTTGGGTTTGTGGAACTCTACTATATTCAAAAGATTTTTTCAGCATTTATGTTCCAGTTTACAAAAAAAATATTCTGAATTGTATTCATTAGACTTAGTTACATTGAAATATCTTGCCCATTTCTGATTGCAAGCTAAAGTATTAAATTAAGAATAATCAGCATTTGTTTGACTAATAAATTGTTTGTGATTACAAAACTTATTAATACATTTTATAGCTTTAGACAGAATTAGATAACCTAATAAATAGGGTATAACAATTTGCAGGGCTTATCACACCAAGGCCGACTGAAAGAAGGACCAGAACTTTTATAAAAAAAAGGGTTGGTCTTTAATAATCACATTTCAAATTTAGGTAAGTATGCATTTCGGGTACAAGGACCCCTCATCAGCTTACAAACACATGGTAACAATGTAACAAATACAACACCAATAACCAGCCAATACAATGGGATAACCAACACATGCAGTGAACTGCATTTACAATTTCTCAATGTAACCCATACACCAGAAACTAAAATATCAAGTATAAATTAGAATACAATGACAATGTGGTACAATTATCCTAGAACAGGGGTCGGCAGTTTGTCAAGTGAGAAGAGCCAAATTGTCATGAAAACAGAATAACAAAAGTACCAGAGAGCCGCATATTAATTTAAATGTGCGAAATACGACACACGACAGAGGCGCCTCTGGTGGCCATTTTTGGCATAACGTTACACGGATGGACGGACACGCGTTCAATGAGTTATATATATAGATATGCTTCAAATGATACCACTCTTATGCAACTCATATTGATCAACGCAAGTGTGGTCATGTGCGGACGGAGAACAAGTCGAAGTTTGTTCGGCGGCTCTATCTCATAAACTCATAAGTTATAAGGCTGCGGTGAAATGAGGTGAGATGAAATTGGAGTTTATGTCCGAAGAGCCGCTAATTCCGACCCCTGGTCTATCTCATAATATTGGGTGCACCCAAAATTCTCTTTGCCTCTGCCATCGTCTTTTATAGCG